CAGTACTCGTTATCTTTTATTTAATATTTGTCGCAAGTTCATGACCTTTACTTTACTTGCCTTCAACGAATTTTATCATGATGATTCATCCATTATGCAGGCATGATTCTGTTTTAATTAATCTGATTTTTCAAATAATTTCTAAACAATTTCAGACTACTATCCAACTTGAGTTCATGCTTAAATTTGCTCAATAAAAAAATGCAACCTTAGTTGAACAGTAAGATAGATCTGCCTGAATTCGATGAATATGTCTAATGAAAAAGATTAAAGCAATGCAAGAAAGTTATAATACAGTACTTTACAACTACTTAATAAGGACAAATAACGCTGTACAATCTCTACTTGATGATCTTCGAGCCAATTTTTTGAATTTGTTCTTCTTTATCTTAATTATTTAATTAGTTAACTTGCTAAAATTGTATTAGTCAGAATTTCACTTTTTTTACTTTTGCTACTTAACAAATTTATCTTTGCAAGAAGCAATTACTTACACATAAAAACGAGTTTTGGATGGTTGTATCTTTGAAATACTTCAAAAATCAGTTTAATTAAGTGCTACACTTCTCGTTCCGTACCTTTCCGAAAATTCATACGTTTTCCACTAAATGAGGTAGAAGCAATTTCAAATTTAAAGCGAAAGCAAAAACAAATCTACAAAACTTTTTATTCGCTTTGATTAATTACAGCTAGCGATGAAGTAATATCAGAATAATTACGCATTAAAAATGAAATACAAAAAAATGCACCAATAAAAATCATGTTAAAATAATATCAAAATAACACATTAAAAGTAAAAAACTGCATATTTAAACTTTTCAAACAATTTGAAAACAAAATTACTCAATTTTAGTTAAGCGTTCAGACTGAATTTGGCTTATAAAATAGCAATCCATAAGTATTTGTGTACAATTTTGATACATTTGAAGTTTAACGTAATTGAGCATAATATTTATTCAATTATTTAGGAAGGATTAAAAATAAATTTACGTCTCTTTGCCTTTCAATTTCAGTTTCAAATTTGTGCTATTAATTAAGTGCATATATTAAATATGCTAATTGAGGGTAGTTTGTTGATGAATTTGTTTTCATTGGTTGCTATGAAGTAAGTAACAGTGCTGGGCCATCGGAGCGCGGCTTCTGCTCAGCCCTGCCCTGCCCTCCCAAGCACCGCCCTCACGTCACATTGCGCTTTCCCTTTCATCTCTCATCGGACATTTCACTTTTCAGGTTGAAAATTTTTTAACTTTTTAAATATTTAATTGTATAACTTAAATTCATATTTCCCATATTTTATTCATTACTAATTAATTCCATTTCTAGCCCATTCAAACTAAAATTTTAATATTTTTGTGTGCAATTTGTTGCACAAAAATTCAGTTTCAATGCTGAAATATTCATTATTTGAAATGAATAATAATATTGTTTATGAAATAAATTTAGCAAATAATACACACAAAAGTAATCATTTCGTGATTTTGACAGAAGTTCTGTGTAATTA